ACCCTCCCAGTGCCCTCCCAGTGCCCTCCCAGTGCCCCAAATGCCCCCCCAGTCCCTCCCAGTGCCCCCGTGCCCTCACCGTGACGGTGGCCAGCAGCCCCTCGGGCACGTTGGCCACGATGATGCCGATGAGGAAGATGACGGCCTCGAGCCAGGTGTAGCCGAGGATGAGGGAGAGGATGAAGAAGGAGAGGCCGAGGAAGACGGCCACGCCGGTGATGAGGCGGATGAAGTGCTCGATCTCCATGGCGATGGGCGTCCGGCCCACCTCCAGCCCCGAGGCCAGCGACGCGATGCGGCCCATGACGGTGCGGTCCCCCGTGGAGATGACGATGCCCCGCGCGGTGCCTGGGGGGAGGAAGGACCCCCGGAGTGACCTCGGGGTCCCCCCGTGTCCCCGGGGTGTGTGCGTGTCCCCTGTTCTCGTCCCCGTGTCCCCAGGGCGGGTGAGTGTCCCCTGTCCCCCCGGTGTGTCCCCTGTCCCCCAGTGTGTCCCCTGTCCCCCCCAGTGTGTCCCTGTCCCCCGTGGAGATGACGATGCCCCGCGCGGTGCCTGGGGGGAGGAAGGACCCCCGGAGTGACCTCGGGGTCCCCCGGAGTGACCTCAGTGTCCCCCCGTGTCCCCAGGGTTGGTGTGAGTGTCCCCTGTCCCCCCGGTGTGTCCCTGTCCCCCCCGGTGTGTCCCCTGTCCCCCCGTGGAGATGACGATGCCCCGCGCGGTGTCTGGGGGGAGGAAGGACCCCCGGAGTGACCTCGGGGTCCCCAGGGTGGGTGTGAGTGTCCCATGTCCCCCCAGTGTGTCCCTCTGTCCCCCCCGGTGTGTCCCCTGTCCCCCCAGTGTGTCCCCTGTCCCCCAGTGTGTCCCCTGTCCCCCCGGTGTGTCCCTGTCCCCCGTGGAGATGACGATGCCCCGCGCGGTGCCTGGGGGGAGGAAGGACCCCCGGAGTGACCTCGGGGTCCCCCAGAGTGACCTCAGTGTCCCCCCGTGTCCCCGGAGTGTGTGCGTGTCCCCTGTTCTCGTCCCCGTGTCCCCAGGGTGGGTGTGAGTGTCCCCTGTCCCCCCCAGTGTGTCCCTGTCCCCCGTGGAGATGACGATGCCCCGCGCGGTGCCTGGGGGGGGGAAGGACCCCCGGAGTGACCTCGGGGTCCCCAGGGTGGGTGTGAGTGTCCCCTGTCCCCCCCGTGTGTCCCTCTGTCCCCCCGGTGTGTCCCCTGTCCCCCGTGGAGATGACGATGCCCCGCGCGGTGCCTGGGGGGAGGAAGGACCCCCGGAGTGACCTCGGGGTCCCCCCGTGTCCCCGAGGTGTGTGCGTGATCCCTGTCCCCGTCCCCGTGTCCTCCCCGGGGTGGGTGTGAGTGTCCCCTGTCCCCCCGGTGTGTCCCCAGGGGGGTGTGAGTGTCCCCTGTCCCCCCGTGGAGATGACGATGCCCCGCGCGGTGCCTGGGGGGGGGAAGGACCCCCGGAGTGACCTCGGTGTCCCCCCGTGTCCCCGGGGTGGGTGTGAGTGTCCCCTGTCCCCATCCCTGTGTCCCCAGGGGGTGTCTGAGTGTCCCCATGTGCCCAGGGGGTGTCCCCCTGTGCCCAGGGTGGCAGTGCCCACCTTCCACACAGTTGGTGGAGAAGAAGCAGATGTTCTGTGTCCCCCTGTCCCCAGGGTGTCCCTGTGACCCTGTCCCTGTCCCCAGGGGGTGTTTGTGCCCCCCGTCCCCATCCCTCTGTCCCCAGGGGGTGTTTGTGCCCCCATCCCTGTGCCCAGGGTGGCAGTGCCCACCTTCCACGCAGTTGGTGGAGAAGAAGCAGATGTTCTGTGTCCCC